TCGAATCCGCCGGTAAATTTGGCTGAGCAGTTAGGGGAGAGATACCTCGAATTAGCTCTGGTGTGTCGCACCTAGTGTTGGTGTTTAATGAAATGAACTCTGAGCTGGCTGCCTGTGGAGAACGTAAAGCAAGAGCCGTGGACTGTGTTAGATCCCACGGACCTAAACCCGAGAAAAAAGAATCAAATAAATTAGGATCAAAGACTGATTGCAACTCTTGTGGCTGGGCCGCCAATGATGTGTCGGGCAAAGAAGCGCCTGTGGTATCATTGTTGATTATGAAATCGCTATCCTCGACTCCTGGCGTGTCGGTTGTATCCGCGTTAGTATATTGACAAGGTATGCTTCGCGCGGAACACCGAGAGCAGCTGGGACGTTTCAAGTTGCATCTAGCTTTATCTACAGCACACTGATGGCAGGACTTGCGTCGAAGAGTATGCGGCTGTGATTTATTACAGTTGTTCTTGAGATGGCGAATAAGCGAGGATCCTGTGCGTGGTTAGTTCTAGTCTCAGACGAGGCACAATCTAGACGTACGATGACTGAAGTGGGTTGCACAGAATTTACATTCGGAACTTTTCTCCGTGGATTTCATTTTGTTGCACTTGTTTGGTCTTGGGGAGGGTGTCGGATGGAATGTCGTTCGATTTAGCTCGGAACTCCGGGTTGCTCAAGTGGGGCGAATCTACGGGTTGCTCTTGGTATAAAAGCTCATGCACACCACGCAAGAAGGACAGGTAAATTCTCAGTCAATCTAAGTCAACTTCACTAAAATGACAATCAATCATATTTTCTTCTGGGCCTCCGCTGCCAAGTACACATCCCTGCGATCATTTTATCGTACCATCCTACAACCGATCGGGTACTCCGAGATGATTCGTGCCAACAACGAGGCTCTCATCGGCTATGGTAGTGACTATCCTTACTTCTGGCTCAAGAAACTACCGGAAAACAAAGATCCTCTACCAGTCCACGTTTCATTTGACGCCCCAAGTTAGTATCCACACATTGCAATCGGGATGTTGCTAATACAGTTAAACCAGGCCGCGAAGCTGTGGATCAATTCTACCAGCTAGCCTTGTAAGTTGAAACTGCCATCATGACATAGAACATTGCTTGCATCTTTATATGACTCGCAGCTAATGCTATCTCAGGCAACATGGCGGACGAGACAACGGAGGGCCAGGAATCAGAAAGGAAATGAGTCGGCAGCCTTACTACTCGGCTTTTGTACTTGATTTGGACGGGAACAATGTGGAGGCTGTGTATCTTCCAAAATAAATTCTTGTGTATTATTATTGCACAAAGGTAGATGATATATATTTTATTATCATTCCGCGTCAAAAGTCTAATCTATTATGCAAATTTGATGATATACCTGCTTTCTACTTAAGAATATCTTGAGTATGGATAAATGAACAATACAGCTCGGAATCTGCGATAAAACCAAGAAGATGGTGTCGGAATTACTTTGGCTACCGTCGAGTTGCAAGTACTGCGCCAGAAGCTGCCTCACACCTAAACTAATAAACTGCCAACTAAACATTTCCCCGTCTGCCGGTCACTTAATCTCTATTTTAATGCTATCAAAAACTTTTTACTCGCCACCACTTATGGAAAGAACTTTCTGTATGCATATTGTGATAATATTCAGAACAAGAAAACACACCCCTGGCCATAAACAGCAAGTTTAATCTTTTGCTCTGGCCATGCACTAGTTATGGGCCGAAAACAGGAATAAAAGCCTGATATACAAGGCGGAAAGAATGAAGTTAGGCAACACAAACGGATGGTAAGGTACTTCAAGTTTTTACAACAATCCAACTTCAATTTTGATACCGGCATCTCTCAACTGGCCGATATATTCCATCCCTAAGAATGAGGGTGTAACTCCTCCACCATGTTCACGAGCCTCCGTTCCCACCATATCGGCACTGTTTTTCCGACAGAGCAGTACTCTTGCCCCGACACAGGTGATAGACGAGTGATCCAGGGTGTCTTTGTCTGCCTCTCAATAGGCGCAGACAATATTGACGAGTTACTATATAGGTACCAGCCAGAACCATATGTTTCGAACGTGTCAAGTACTGTGTTGAGAGAGCCGGCGCTTATTGCCTTAATACTGGAATAAACAATTCAGCCAATGACGGAGAGTGGTTGTAAGAAGGCCATACTCAAGCTTTCCGGAACTAATTATACTGGCTGTGACGGTAGAGTATGCCTCATGAATCTTGGTTACAATTAGCCCTGCGGTGATATCCGATGGTGTCGATGTCGATAAGCCGGGTATGAGCTGCACAATGTCAGCTCCAAGCTGTCGTTGCTCCATGAGAGTTGTTTGTACTGACTAGTGACCCGCTCTGTCGAGCAACTTCGTTATAGTCTCGAATTACTTCTTGAATCCATGGAATCTCGGTGATAGTGCAAAGATAAGCTTGGGTAATTGTTTATAAGGCGCAGGAGATGACTTACAAGTCAACATAGTGGTGCCGAGGGTGGCACATGCTGCCACAATTGGAGTTGAGAAACGGTGGAATAGCCCGATCCTATTGATCACCACCTTTGTTTTCTGTCTCAGAGGTTTGAGGCTTGAATGACCTAAATCTATGATCTCAATATCTTTGTGGATGTTAGATCGACCTGGATAATGACAATTCGCGGCGGAGTCATACCTAGGGACACTCGATTTGGGGAGAGTTCTTTTAAATTTTGTTCCATGGCCTTTAGACGAGACAGCTGCAATGCACCATTTGGTGGTCGGGGGGTAATTCTGTGCGATAAAGTGTGCACAATGATTCCCGGTAAACCCGGTTGCCCCGAAAAGAACGATTTCGTACATGATTCTGTGTAGAATGTGTGGATAATCGGAATACATTCTAAATAATATATACTCCGTACACCTATCCTTTTTAAACACTAGACCATTGTGCTAGCTCAAATATCTAGAGCAACCGGAGTTCCGAGTTGAGCTAACTCGTACCGTTACCCCGGGGTTCCATAACTTGGATACTGATGTCATGGACTGATAATTATCCCATCGGTTAATCTATTCGTATTTTTACTAATTATGAGAATTCTGGGTTAAGTTGCGATGTCCGAATGTTCGATTCATCCAATCTTTTAGCTATATCGAAACGAACTGGTCCGAACCACAATATATCTAGTCTAGAAGGTAGCTAGTTACCACAGAAAGCCTAGCCCTATTTAAATAATTCAACCCAATGACCAGTGATCATATTAGTATATTACTTTCTTTCATGTTGAAATCTTACACCTTTAAACTATCGGGCACATCATTGGAGGATCTGATGAATGTGGAAATTTGTATGCTGGGAATCGCTTTAGTTTCGCGAATTGATGGGTATGAAGATTTGTATGGGAATAACTTCAATATCAAAATATGTATGGCTTCAATTTACAATATCACAGGAAGATGTGTGAGCTAAGGCATAAATCAGGCACCAAAACCTTGAATAATACCATAATACCGGTAATTAATACAAGAATCCGAAAAATCAGAGTTTGAAAGTTACCACACGAAAAAAGCCTCCACGCACTTTATTCCCTCAAGATCTGAAACAAGATCAAAAGGATGGGAGATCGGAGCAATTTCCACGAATTGCCCACCGAGCCATACGGTATCTTCTGGCAAGATGACTTTATCAATGCCGAACACGAGCAACGACTCATCTCAGTCTTTTGCAACGAGCTAGAATGGCCCGATCGCCCTGGCCGGGTATCACTGCATTACGGCTACAGCTTCGATTATAAAACATTCGGGATAGACCCCGATATCCCATACAAGGAATTCCCAGAATGGCTCCAACCTCTCATCCCCACAACCGAGGACCGGCCACCAGACCAGGTCTGTTTGCAGTACTATCCTCCAGGCGCGGGTATCCCGCCACATGTAGATGCACACAAGCCATATGACCAGCTCTATGCGTTATCTCTTGGTGCGCCGGCGATGATGATATTCCGCCGCGGCGAGGAACGCATCGAGGTTGATTTGACCCCGCGGAGCATGATGCAAATGAGCGGTGACTCAAGGCTGCATTGGACGCATGGTATTAGGAAGCGGAAGAATGATGCCCTCCCGGATGGGACGGTAAGACCGCGCGGGAAGCGGTGGAGTATCACTTATCGCTGGCTCAGGGATGGGGAATGTGAATGTGGGAACCTGGAGCTATGTGACACTGCTCAGCGGAGGAATGGTATCGAAAAAGAGAAGAGGTCGTTAAAGGCATTGGCGGAGCAGGCGGCACGTGAGAAAGCTCTCGAGTAGATAGAGTTGAGAGGGTTCGATGACTTGGACTGTTTTGTAAATATTGCAACGAAATATACCCGGAGTTCGACGCAGAGTAGTGGAAGCTACCTTTGCATATGGATTTCTTTGTTGGCTATATTTGAAAGCAGGACAATGACATTTGATTGATACATAAGTAGAAGAAAATAGTAGACATAATCGCCGGAACATTTGAATAGCCTGCATAAGAACCTGTAAGAAAGCCATAAGTGACCCAAAGGCACCGAACGATATCACCGCCGAAAATGTCATCCAATGTGCCGAGTCTCTTTTATCCCGCCATAATTGAATCCAAGTACGTGGTGCTGATGCAGATAACTGTCCTTGTGGTCATGTAGCTGTTAATTCTTTTTGGTTTTCTATATTTTTTGGTATACTCAATCCAACTTGGAACTCGCTACATCTGTTGCCTTAGTTTTAGTTGAGAAGGGGTAACCTTGGCGGCAGTTCAGGCGGAGACAAAATGTTTGCCCATGAACAGACGGAATAGGTAAAATGTAAACAGTGAAGTCATATATCAATGAGGAAAGAAGTTGGTGAGGAAGGAACGTTTGACGATTGGAGCCTCAGGAAGCAAGAATATTCTGCAGTATGCGGTTTACAGTCTAAACGCCCCGTCGTCTTGAACTAGGGACTATTCCACAAATTCAGTGTAAGAGAATGGTAGAAAGGGAGCCGACCTAGCCAAACGGATCTAGCCTAGGATATCATCAAAATCCGGCTCCAGTCTAGCAAGTGATGTCTTGTACAATCTGGGCAAACCAGTATCCTCGAATGCAACTGAACTCCGGGCCATATCTGCAATGGCCTTGCCAGACAAAAATGCGACAGGCATACCATGACCATTGAATCCCGCCGCGATAAACTGACCTGGTTTACCCGGAATACAACCGACATGAGGCAACGAGTCTGCACTATATCCCATGACTATAAATACAAAGTCAGCAGAAAGAAGACATACCCTCAAATCGAGGAGTGTATAGGAATTGCACATACCACCAGCCCATATATGTTTGATCTGCGCTTCACTGTCCTCCCACCCAAGGAATGTGCGTTGCATATAGCCATCCAAGTAATCCGCAGTAACCTTAATCAACTTGCTATCATCTGTGTTGTTATACCACTCCTCCCGATCATCTTTGAAAAGGTGCGAGGCACCTCCAACAATGAGGGACCCATCATTGCGAGGAATTTGATAGATATACGCCCCCGGACCATATCGAATCACATAGGTACCCGAAAGCTCCTGACGAGGTGCACCAGGTTCTGCAGCGATCTGGCTACAGATCCCCTTGCATGGAATGATAGCCTTGGAATATTCCGGTGCCAGGGCGCTGGTGAACGCGTTCGTTGCGAGGATAATCTTGTGCGCGTTAATCACACCACGACTGGTAGTTACCGGCCAGGATCCATTTTCGTTTGGCGTTTCTCCTATTTCGAATACCGGGGTATTGGTTTGTAGGTTCAGGCCATTAGAAACGGCAACCCGAATGAGATGAGCAACGAGTTTGTAAGGCCAGAGATGGCCTGCTGAAAAGCTGAAGCCCCCCTTGGCTTCTCGAACATGTGCCGTCTTAACAAAACATCGTCAGTGGGTATCCTTAAAATGAGCATAATATCCTTAAAGCTTATTCGACTTACATCTTGAGTCTCGGCTTGAGACATGTATTTAACATCCTCCATGAAATCCAGCCCCTGCTCAACCAAAACGTCGTAGAAGGCTTTCGCCTTTTTGAGCTCGTTTTCGTCAACATACATATCATAGGAGCGGGTGAAAGTAAGATCACAATCAATGTTCTCTTTACGGACCAGCTCCTCGACGAGCTTCAAGTGCGAGATTTCAAACCGTACGATCTCCGCTGCTGCTTCGATGCCATAGCGCTCAGTGAACAAGGCTGTTGCTGAATAGATATCCGGTCTCAAATGACCGCCTATATAAAAATTGAGTGAGCCAAGTCTGTATACTTATATTGTAGTTCATGTGTAGGTGGGTCTCACCATTGCGCCCGGTGGCACCGGAGCAGAGCTCCCGGGCCTCAACTAATACCACGCGGGGGGTTGGAGTTTGCGGGTTCTCCGCGAGCAAGCGATAAGCGGCCGAGGCTCCGACATAGCCGCCACCGATAATTAGGATATCGGTTTCCTCTGGCAAGTCTGGTGTCGTTTGATGGTTATCGAGGGGGTCTGGTTGTGTGCGCCAAAATGATTGGGTATACCCCGCTGCTGGGCGAGGAAAGGACTTTACATAGGAGTTGGACATGATTATTCGTGGTCTAACAGCAGTTGAAAGTGCGATTTGAGCTCTGGTTATATGATCCAAATACAGGTGCAATGCAAGAAAAAGGTAAAGCGTATTATAGACAAGGTGTCGGAGTTGTTACACTGCAGCCTATCGCGTAGGAGGCCGAGAACTATGCGGGGCTGGATAAGTGGAGATCATGTGCGACTTCGATATTCGTTATTGTTATTCATGATATTGCTAATGCTCTTCACTATGTTTATTGCTAGGTACTTGCTCGTCCCATATTCGTTAAGCTGCTATTCCCAGGCTACCGTTGTTGAGCTTCAAAGGCCTCAAGGACATCGGGGCAGCTCGATTGGGCCTTGTCTGATTGTCTAGCCAGATATACAGACTCTGCCAATCGCGCTTTTATAAGCTGGTTCCGAGTCTTGGAATGGATAGCCGAACGCAAACTTTTGGCTAACCCTTGCCCCGGATAGGCTACTAAGCCCAAAGCACCTGAAAGTGATCTATTAGCATATAATCTCGTTGGCAGTGCAAGAATAACGTGTGTCACGAACCTGATGCAGCTTTTGTGCCCATGCCAATCGGTCCTTTCACAACTCCTTTGAGTGCACCCCTAATTCCATCTTTCTGGGCACCCTCGTATGGCTGCCGGAAGATATCACTGAGTCCATGGGAGAACCCATGGATAAAATTGTCCGAAGCCGCTAAAACCCCAGATTTGAAGTCTGTGATGTTATCGTAGTCTTTAACCTCCTCGCCATAGAGTCTGGGAACAGCTCTCAGACCTTCGTTCACTGCTCCAGGTATGTCTATCAGAACGCCCTTGTAGTAGTAAGCTATGATCCTCCCCACGCTTTTGGCAGATCCCCCCACTGCTTTTCCCATAACTCTTCGTTCTTCACTTGTCATGCTCACGCTGCTAGAAGTACGTGAGATGTCTTCGGATGGACTCCGCTCGGGGTGGGGATCGGCAGTCTCGATGACTACGAGCTCTGGCTCACTCTGTTGACGGGCGCGACTAAACTCTTTGTAGGGCCGAATAACAACGTCGCTTGATGCTGTGAGAATATCCTTGTACATGCCTAGTAAAGATGATGTGCCGCCTGTGATAGGATCCCATCGGCGATTTTGAATAAAGAAGGATTTGCTGTCGTACCTAGTTCCAAATAGATGTTAATATAGATGTAAAATATGATGGGCAAGATATATCCCCTCACGCTTTCAAGTCCTTTATATCAATACAAGAATTTTCAAGCAAGATCCCCGCTGCCATTTTTGACAAAGTCACAGGGGACGTGGCGTTTTGTTTGAATTGCCATGTAGCAGGCTCAGAATCGAGAAACTGGCATTTCATTTTATCGATCGGTAAGTTGCGATGGAAAGACGCGACGGCCGCAGAAACTCCAGCCTCCTCGGCCATTTGGCGGGCCACATCACTGGCTGCTGCTAGAGTATCAGGATGCAGGCAAAAACGGATAGCTTCCGCTAGATTCTCCGTGTTCAAAGACCGATGTGGAATGGGCATTGGTCCAACCCCGCGGGATGCAAGCATATTTCCCCAAAATAGTTGACTGTGGCAAGTTAGCGACGAAATGGGAAATTTTTGCAGGGAATAACGTGCTCTCCAAAGAATGGTACAACAAGAGAGGGCCTTCCAAATCGTAAACCACATGCTGTAGTCCCTGCTCCTCCATGATGTACAACTGCAGCGACCTTCTGGAACAGCCATTCGTGGGGACAGTCTCCAAGATAAAAGATCTGATCATCTGATTGTGCTTCGCCGAGATTACTCCAGCCACGGGATATGATTGCCCGACCACCCCAGGACCTCACTGCATCGACGAGTGTGGCAGTCATAGCTGGGGGATCCTCAATGACTATGCTCCCGAAGCCAATATACACTGGCGGAGGGCCATTTTCAAGAAATGCGGCAAGTTCTGGAGGCGGTGTGAAGTCCGGAGGAGAGCGAAAGAAGAAGCCACAGACGTTAAGATGTGATGGCCAGTCCACTGGTTTAGGCATTAATGTAGGCGACCAGCAATATGTGAAGGGTATCTTCAAAGTCTCTGCTAAACGGGGCCCTTCGGTGGCTGCTATAGGTTCTAGGTCGATAGTTTTTCTCCAATCGTTGATAACACCACCGAGGCTGTTGGGATGTCAGCGTATTGTGTTACGGATGGGCAGGGGTATCGATACCCTTGCCATGTCAGCCATTCGACAATCCCGTAAGAGAGGTAATTGGCCATTTTCGGCTCTGTAGTTGAATATTTCAAGTTCGCTAAGGGATGCGGAAATGACCGTGTGCTAGTCCACGGCATGGTAAACATCATATGTAGAGGGATGCCAAGTGCCTGCGCACAATGGATATGGGCAAAACTTGGGGGATTCGCAATAATTGCATCCGCCACAAAGGGCGTCTTCGTCACTGGGTCATCCTCAATACAGGATTCCCAGCATCCCTGCAGTATTTGGCCTACCATAACACGCTTGCGTTTAATATCGCCCTCTTTAACGGACCTCATCTGTGGTATCAGTCCTGGATTCTTCACCATATATGCCATAAGTTCCGAGGGGTCTCCTCCAATGCAGTAGAACTCTAGGCCGGAGTCTCGCACGAAGCTTTCAAACACACCATGTGTGGCTAGTCGTACACGGTGTCCATGGCGCTGGAGCTCGTTGCCTAGTGCGACAAAGGGCTGAACGTCGCCTCGGCTGCCAACAACTTGGATCACGATATTGAGTTCGAGGCCACATCCGTCGTCGCCTGAGGGCTCTGGTTTTGGTTGTTTTTGCTCTTCCGTATGCAAAAATGGTATCAATTTTGACACTTCCCTGCCCACTCTAGAGTCCAGGTCGATCTCAATCCGCCCGTCATCTTCGAAGGGTTAGCCAACTGTTCTCGAATCTGAGATACAAATCTGCTCTGACCTTGAACCTTTGTCCCGTCCTCAGTAAATCGGTTGCGTTCAAGCGTAGAAGGCCGACGCGGTGGTTCTTCCATCATTGCAGCCCGATGACATCATACGTGGGGAGAAAAAGATCGTTCCTGTGTAAATGTTTATCAGTTGGTTGGGTATGGGTGAGCTGCTTTCAAAACACCGTGGATCATCCAGTATTTCTCAAAAAAAAAGAGCAGTATTTCAAGAGAAGTGGTCCCGAAACAACTGAAGACCATGGTAGTCTGATGGTTCTGCTCAGCCTGGGACGAGTGGATCCGGAGGGTTGCCGACGCCACGTGATTATTAATCCGAGCCAATCAAAGGTTATCGTTGAAACTTTGAAACACCATATGACGACATTGTTTATAGTACTATATCTAGGAGTAGAGAACACGAGTTTATTGCCTGGACACCCTGCTCGTACCTGTATCCAGCAACTGAAAAGCAATTTATCACGGTTTATCTTTTTCTTCTTGTTCCTCATAGGTAGGAAGTAAAGGCTGTATGCAACATATCATTGTGCCTTTTTTGGTGGGAATTTGGCGAAGGACAAGACCTACAGCTACTACACGATACTACTATAATGATGGACGCGTGTTACTACACTAACAATTCATTCATTCTTTGTAAATTTAAGTTTTTATCTTGATTTAGAGGGCTTTTTCCATAGTTTCCATCGTTTTCGTTTTCCGTCTTCTTTCCTAGTTTTTTTCAAGCTTTTTTTTTTTATTTTTTTCCCCAGAGGTGCCGAAAGTATCGCCTTTTCCAAGTCATGGATCATTGGGGTCACTCACATTGAAGCGTGGATATTCTGAAATCGTACATTATGGAAGGAGAGCCAAGAAATGGGGGTCATTGTTAAGGACATCCCATACCGGCGCATCCAGAGCCAAATTAACGTCAACAGCGCATGGGAGACTGGGCCCAGCCAAAAGACGTCCATTAATCCGATGGCGTCGAGGCAACTGCTCCTCGGTAGACAGGATGACTGCGTAACCATCGGCCCGATGACTTTCGCTGAGGGCCGGCGATACCAAATCAGGGGCAATACGCCTGCCATTAGGGGCGACCTCAAAGTCAACACCAACGTACGTCTTACCTCTACTCCACCGGGTAACGATGAAGCTACCACTTGGCACTACGTTCTTGGACTTGACATGACTTTTGTTAGGCTGTGCGGCAACCCATTCGAACTGCTGCTTAACCTCGTCCATGTCAACTGAGTGAATTGCATCATGGATGACCTGTGCAACCTGCCAGAGTGCACCGTTTTCGAGTAAATCATGTGAGGTGGAAGTTGAGATGCAGTGGACGGCGTTCGGAAAATAGCGCGCGGGGAGCTTCAGACGGGTGGAGTCGCGCATGTCCATAGTTGTCCAAAAGTGGCGAAGTGCCTGTAGCGAGTCTATGTCTGGTGCGGCTCCTTTATCACGCAAAAGCTTTATTCTAGCTTGGTAGATTCGTTGGTAAAGGAAGGCGGAGATGACCTCGAATGTGGTGAACGAGGTCTGTCTCTGGGCGTTGGGGTCCCATGCAGCATTCCTGAGTAAAATCAAATCCTGACCTTGGAAACGTAGAGTGCCAGCACCGACGGTAGAAGGAGCTAAGAATTTAGGCTCATCCGTGGTATTTGTGTCCAGGTAAAAATTCGGAGGGTTGAATGCAATCGCACTTTGCTTCTGATTGGATGATGGGTTACTTGTTCCTCGAAAGTATGAGATAATCTCGGGAGGGGAGATAAGTGTGGGCGGAGCAAAGTCTCGCAATTGTTTGTAGATATCAGCAAGATCCCGTACGAGCTGCATAAATCCGTTGGCATCGCATACTAGATGATGAACCCTAATTCCTAGTGCGACCCCTCCACAGCCGAATCGGGTGTGCTGGATAGCAAAAATAGGATTGTAGGCCATAGCTCCGACCGTTGCATGAAATATGGGAAGAAGTGCATTCCCATCATCCGGCAGCTTGATTGCTAAGATACGGGCAGAAAGAGCGGAAAGGGCAATGTTTCTAAGCTTTCTAGGGCAGTGTGCCTCCCAAAGCTCAGCACCAGTGCCCAGGCTACCAATCTCTGGGGCTTGGCTGACTGGATTTTGCTGCAGACGCCCAGTCAAATGCGGGTAATAATCCAGGACGTGGCATACAGCCGCCTTCAAGCGTTCGATGGGGAAATAACATTCATCTGGTAGTATTGTTGGCTTTCTGTAGACCAAGATGGCTTCGATGGTCAACATGGGGGGGACAGTATGGTCCATCGGTCCTAGGCTAAAAGGGGACTCGAGAGTGGCAACTGTCGCATCATTGGCGCAGTTAAGCGTGTGCCGCGTAGAAACGCGCACTTGGTCGAGTACCATTGTTGCGATTGGACGAAGCACGGACAAGGATCATAAGATAGTCAAGATGGAGAAAGGTGTGGCTGGTTGACAAGGATGAAAGATGAGGAAGATGAAAGGGGATGAAGATGAAAGAGAAAATGTTTGTGCGGCCTAAAAGCAATGGGGAATTGTCACTTCATCCCATACCTGCGTTGTTGGGATAATAAATTTGTTTCCCCCCGAGTGAAGATAATGACCAGAGCATCTGGCGAGTACCTAGTACTGATTTCTATTAAGGAAATAAATTCAGAAATCAAAGAAATGCAACTCGGGTAGTATAAAGATATTTTGAACAAAGAAGCGGGAGCCATAGAGGTACATATCTTGACAAAGACAGGTTGGAACTGAATGGCTTCTCTTACTCTCTTCTATCTACATAATTGAACAAAACTGGAAGACTTCAAATTAAAGTGTCTCTAGGAACCAGGTAACCTCTACCTTCCCTTTTGGACTACGCCAGCTCCTTTCCCCATCACTTATAAAAATCTTCCTTTCGCACTCTCCCTTATTCTTCACACATTCTGGTTTTGGTCGAGGATTACATTCTTTGATTTGGCTTCAAAGAGCTATTCATATTGACCAATCAGCGACCATCAAAGGTTCGAGGCGTACGAGGCTCCGATCAAAAGATCCACTTTGGTCCGGCTCCAATGTGGGGATATGGCCAAATGTTTGTGCCAGATATTCAAAGGCTTCATACGAAGTCTATATTACCTTTAAGTCGGTCTAAGTTTGCACAATGAGGTTGCCAGTAGGCCAGAGTCACATTGACCAGTTGGTCCTGCAGACGCCAGGAGATTGAGGGTTAACACAAAGAGATAGAGGTACGATTCGGTGGACTAGAAGTGACAGCAGTATGCACACGAGCTCTTACTTTTACTGAATGCTAACCACTCACCAGGGTGGAGCAACCGTGCTTCCGAAGGACCGTATCTATACACCTCGTAATTTATAAGCGACATAACCAGAAGGATATAGATAGGGCCATAGGGTTTCTAGGTACATTCCCAATTAGCCCATTGATCGTTACTGCCACGTAGGCTGCCCACCGTGAGATTCCGAGCACAGATATTGTCTGTGAATGACCTGGCATTGCGGGGACCATTCCAGCGTAGGATGATTGCCCAAGGCGGGGGTTGGTTGAGGTAGAGGAATGCGAGGAGGGATGCTATCGATACACGGACCTCGTCAATTATTGTATCGATAATCTTGAGTGTGGTGGCTGTTCGTGACTTCAGCGAATCATTTCAACCTTTCATCCTCCATTGCATCAAAAAACCCTATTGTCTGTCCACGGGTCCTAGAATATCTCTAGGTGGGTTATACCCTTATCAGTTCGCTCACTCGTCCTTTTGCTCGGAGATCTATCACTAGTATCCCACTAACAGGTTATTCCTTAGCCTCTCACGTAATGATCTGGAACCTTGGAATTTTCCTTCTAGCCGAAGTCCTCAAAGAGTGACTGAAGTGACCGAAGGCCCATATCCCTCTATCGAACAAGAAAAGGGCCGCGTCATCTGGTCAGGGAGGCACGATGCAGCGTCGCTCGTGACATAGGTAGTTGAATGCGTGCTCTTATCTTCTCCGAGGAAGCCTTCAAACTCCATAACGGACTAGGCGCCGAGGTCCCACTTACGGCTTATCATGTCGCCGTCACAGCTCTTCAGGGGGCCATTGCGAGTGTGATGAGCCTGCAGCTGCACTGCAATTGTGACTCTGGAGGCCTGGAAAGCGATTCACAATTTTTGATACCAGACGGGATCTGGGATCAGCAAATCGGCTTCCTCATGAAAGGACTCATGCCCTAATGATTAGCGTTACCATTGGCAGACCACAAACTGTGGCGCGACCCTCTACGGACTGATGCATAATCACAGGGATATACTATTTGAGTGCTGGCCTTTAGCTTTTGGCTCGTGACGTCTACACGAGACGGGTGAAGCCGAAGGGTCAACAATGTATGCAATAAGAGGAAAGTGGATATGCGAGTGTCGATCGACGCCAAACCCAAATATTCTATATATACCGTCGATCGATATGTCTAAGATGAAGAGGTACCTGGGTATCACAAAAGGATTACAAACCTAGCCAACAGCAGGCTTCCGCTCGAATTCCTTATTGGCTCAAATTTTAACGAGCTGCACACCCTCCCGCTTCACACTGCGCTGTGGCGCTTGATTTTGAGTAGATTGGGTCCGTCCGTGGGCAATTTTAGTGTCGGCTCTTTTTCCCTTGGGGCAAGTGTTACACTCACGCAGTGCTTTTTCCAAGCCATGAGAACTCACCTGTATGTGACATGATTCCAATAAACGCCGTTTCCGCCGAGAAGGACTAGGGATTAGACATAAGTCAGGTCCGTTCGCTATATCTTCGGAGAAATATTATACAGACGACAACTTGACTCGAAACGTCACTGAACGCTTGGCAACGGCCTAGTCAGTCTGATCTTAAATTCCGAGGGTGAAGATTGAGCGGAGATTAAGTTAACGCAAAACTCGGCAAAGACAATAGGCATCTAGACCTTTAGTGCACGTACCGTTGTCAGTCTCACTGACATTAGCGAGGGCTACCCCGCTATACAGAGTTACAATGAAACCAATGAACGCCCCGATATAACAGAAGAAGGTGATGAACCAAAGATGCTGGCAGTAGCGGCTACATAGTTTTGACAGGTCATCCATGTCGGTGTTATCCTTCGCTTCGCTTCGCATGCTACTTCCGGGGGGTTGTTGTAATGTCTTGGACCATGCAGCACTACTGTTTGACAGCACAACCATGTCTCGATCGCGAACTTTTCGGTTTTGTATTGGTTAATTAACGAGGACCCACAATGATCGACAAGCTGATTGTTAATCGGACACATACAACACACGCATATATCTCCCGTCACCAACCACGGACAGGTCCACCGCATGTCTCATCAAATTGCAGATCCGCTGCAAATGCCTGTTGAAACCAATGAGCACCGAAACCAAGTCCTGACTAATGCAAGGCAGGAAACTTCAAGGAAGTATGTGCAGGTTTATGGAATATCACAACTGGGCAGGCGGCCCGCTGCTGCGCTAACCTCCAGGCGTAGTGTGGATTTGGCCTATTGCCGGCCTAGGTATTCTCACTTTTTGCATCACGCGTGTTCATTGCAAATTTCACATTAGATTAAATTGTTCAAACTCGAGTCATTTCCCTTGGCAGGCTGCTTCACACTATGCCCAAATAGAACTACTCCGAGTCAAGTGTGCAATGATCATACCTATGGCCAATCGCGGATACTGTATACACCCTGGACACATGTGATGAAAAGACAGAACGATCGCCAATCGAGTCATTTACCCCGCTGGCAAGGAAAGCAGCCCGTATACAGCCCGTATAGCATGAGCCTCCATACTACCTAGGTCCCTGGGGAAGTATACGCACAGTTCAAGTACAAATATCAATACAACCCGGGTCGCCATACTTACAATCCCAAGATCTCTTATTTATCACAGCCACCCCTAGCTATGGTATCAATGTCTTTCGACCTCTTCCAAACTCCCTTTTACGGCCTTGTAGCTGGGGCTATTGTCATTATTTGGTCTTTAGCTAAGAGTGTACAAACCTTTCAAAGTATGTAGCTCTTCCTCATTTACGGTGAACCAACACTCATAACTCAATACACATCCAGGATGGAAGTACGCTCGTCAGAACGGCTGCCAACCCTTTGCGCACTCGGTGTGCCACGGCTTGTTCGGCCTTGGCATGGTCATGGAATTAGCCAAAGCCGGCCCCGAGCATAGATTTCTTGAACTTATTCGTGGCTGGCATCAAAGTTACGGCCCTACATTCAAGGCTAAAGTCGCCAATCGAACTCTCATTTTCACCGCCGACCCAAAGAACCTTCAAACAATTCTCGCGCTAAAATTCAAAGACTACTCAGTGGGCTCGGCTCGTGTAAATGCACTACGTCCAGCCTTGGGCAATGGCATCTTCGGCGTAGACGGCGCGGCGTGGGAACATTCACGAGCTCTTCTCAGGCCTAATTTCTTACGTGCTCAGATTAACGATACTGAATTATATGAGACCCACGTTGTCGATCTCATTGAGCAAATTCCACGCGACGGATCAACGATCGATTTGCAGCCGCTGTTCTTCAAGGAGGTCTGTTATCACTCCCTGACAGCCTTCAAGATATTTGACTAACCAAAGGCAGACTCTTGACACAGCTACCGAGTTTCTACTCGGGGAGTCTTCTCACACTCTGCGCAAAGAAGGGTCTTCTGCGGGTGCAGCATTTGCGGAAGCCTTCGATATAGTCCAAGAAGTGGCTTCCATGCACTTTAGGATTGGGAAATTTGCCATGTTCTACCGCAGGAAAGAATTCTTGAAAGCAGTAAGAGATACCCGCGGGTATATTGACAGCTTTGTACAAAATGCGATCGATTATCGTGTCGCGGTCAACAGTGGACGGAAAGTTGATGAAAATGTCAAGCGGTTAACTGACAGTCGATATATATTTTCCAACGAGCTGTCGAAGCAGACACTTGACAAAACCAACATGACAGACCAGATATTTAGTATTATATTTGCTGGTCGCGATACCACTGCCAGCCTACTAGGTGTTGTGTTCTTCATTCTGGCTAGACGGCCTGATGTGTGGGACCGACTTCGGAAAGAAGTCATCGCTTTAGATGGAGCAAAGCCATCATTTGAAGTTCTCAAATCGATGACTTATCTGACCTGGGTTCTGAACGAGAGTAAGCAACACTTCTTCCTGCTCCGTCTTCACTGTTTACTAAATAATCTGTAGCTCTACGTCTGTACCCAATCGCCCTTTTCAATATACGCGAAGCCATACAAGACACATATCTTCCCGTCGGTGGTGGGCCGGATGGAAAGTCTCCTGTCTTTGTGCCCAAGGGCCACGAGGTTATCTTCAGCGTATACACAATGCACCGCGAAAATGAAATCTATGCGCCTGATGCGGACGAATTCCGGCCAGAGAGATGGGAAAATCTTAGGCCCGGTTGGGCGTACCTCCCTTTCAATGGAGGTCCTCGGATCTGTATAGGCCAGCAGTTCGCACTAACGGAGGCCGGATACACTATTGTTCGGATCATGCAAGAGTTTGGGGCAATCGAAAATCGAGATCCAAATCCCTGGACCGAAAATCTTGGGTTGACGTTGTCGAGCGGTAAGGGAACGAAGGTTGCTTTGACGCCTGTCCAGAATTGAACTGGAGAAATTGTTTTGGTCTCAATGTCTGAATGCTTTTTTATGTGGCTTGCCTTAATCCTTTATCCTTAAATTGAACACCACGTTACTACATTGTCAATAACGGGTTGTCCCGTACACATTTTGAGTATGTGACCACTAGGCTGTGAATCCTTGAGAGTTCCTGTCAACGGTCAATGTCTGGTGATACATTCACCGTCTAGACTTTTCAGACTGGGGCCAAATTGTGGAAAAGCAGTCTCTTTCTCGGCAATTCGGGTGGAGAGCTTTTATCCAGGCAGAAACATTTCATGGCCCACAACTTGCTATAACGCTACGCAATCGTGTTATCGCGTCTAGGAAAGCAAAAATCAGAAAAATGCTTCTATGGGGCTTTTCGGGCTAACTATGGAGACCTTTCGCAAAATTATACATAGAAAGATCACTGACGTGAAGAGGTCCCAGCACGGTAATTGAAATCAAATTACGGCAATATTTCCCTGTATCCTCGGAGATGATTACCACTGCGGCCTCAACCTGGTCGGCCGTACCATTGACTCGCTGGGCCTTGCTTCGGACTTAAGTGCCTGTTGAATATTCCGAGGGTTTGTCAGATAGAGACGCTGGGTAGGTCAGTCACCTAGTAACCAGTTGGTACCAGATGCTAAACACCAAATGTCTTAAGAAAGTTCGAAGTGAGATTCATCCGTCATCGGACATTCCAATGACCACGCCAAAATGCGTTTATTCCACACCCTACAACACCCATCACATGACTTACGACCTCCCAATAACATTATCTCTAAGAGTTGCTTATTGGGCTCCTGTCAATCCGCCGACTATTCTTACATTATATTTGATCACGTGGATGAGGTTCCTTCCTAGAGTGTTTCGAGGGCGAGTCTGGAAGGTTGCACACGCAAGAAAAGCCCTCATAGCAGCTGGATGAGCCCAATCCAAGTACCCGGGCGAGATATGAAATGGTGGCCTACAATAGTCGTTGAAGCAGTGGTCCGAGTCAAAGATCGAACTAAGGCAAGATTTTCTATTCTGGCTCCGTGATCAAACCAACAGGTCAAAGTGGCCCTCACAAAATCCAGGTTAGTCCGGAGGGGGACATTACGTTTGAGCAATAGTACTTCGACCCAAATTCTGGCGGGACTTCTGTTGAGCATATCCAAACAATGAGCATCTCTTGAAAGCAACTTACCGGCCCAAACCAGTACCATGTCTACGGCTTGATGGATATCCAAATTTAGTGGCTGCTTCCTTCGCGCAAAAAGGGGCAGCGAGACAGATTTCCATCTTTCGGAAGACGATTTGAAGGGGATTACAGAAGGTTTCCGGATGATACGTACTACGACTTAATGGGCTAGCTAGCTTCGGCCTTGCCTTGCTCGTGACTACGCTCAGTGGGGTCTATCACTATCTTTCCGGAGTCCGGCTTCGGGGGCAGTCCCAGTTGGTCGGCCATGTGGGCCAGGGAGAGAGAGTTTCAGGAGTTCCGGGCGGTCTTGTCAACGTAGTACATCAAGTCGATGCACATGATATCCTAGGGCAGTCTCCAGGTCTGCTCTAAATGAAGCAGTGTTGATGTCATCCTGTGGGGAAGAATACCCTCTACCCTCTACCAGTCCATGATAAGTGCCAGGGGAAATCATAATCATAACCTATTACCATTTCCATAGCCTTCGGAACATAGAGAAGCGCAGGGGATATATTTAGATAGGGCAGGCATGCCAAGGTGCTTGGAACACTCTTTTAAAGTTTCCGACCTCGGGAGCTATAGGAAACTTTGGAAGCTTGTCGAAAACCCAAGGGTGGAGTGAATTGACATCGGGTAATTTACCCGGCATATCGGCATATCGGTGTGATATGAAATTCCACACAGAATTCTCAGTCTGTTGAAACTCCTAGGCTCCGGTTTTCGGGGTAATATATTAGTTACAAAGTCTCATATATCTTACAAATACCATACATCATCAGATTTGGTCAAAGCTTTTCCAGGGGGTCAGATTTGATAAGATCATCTAGGTTTTATCAGATCATAAGATTATCTGATCGTAAGATTATCTGATTATAAAATTATCTGATCATAAAATTATTATCTGATCATAAAATTATTATCTGATCGTAAAATTATCTGATCATATCCGACCACGCCACTCCGGCTAAAAATCTTACAACATAGAACCCACCCTAATGCTTATCTGGGGAGCTATCCCGAGGCTAACCTCGGGCGACACTCGGTGTAATATTCTAGCGTTAAAATACCTCATCTTACCCCTTTACGACCATGGTACATAATGCGGACCCACGTGCTATGGGCCCAAACCTTGGAATTTTAATATACACACAGAGAGATCTTAAAAGCTTTCTCCGCCCTTCTACCCATTCGTTCTGTGTTTTTTGCAACCTACGCGGTACTTCCAACCCCCATGGATACGACAATGACCACCAAAGGGGTCACCACTGACCACTCGCCGCCACTGTACACGGAGTCAGAGACGCCAGATGAGGTGGTTCAACAAGATGGTGTTCAAATTGCGGATGCAGTCACAACAACGTGGTCTCGCAAGCATCTGATTATTGCTTATACCAGGTGAGCAAACTAATAGAAGACATTGTTCCTAAACCACAGATTTAATGCGAATATAGTATGTGGCTGGTATATTTTGTCAACAATCTCAATAGCAGTCTCACCACCAATCTCTCTGCTTACATTACGAGTGGCTTTGCGGAACACTCGCTGTTGACCGTAATTACTGTCGTAACCAGCGTTATGGGTGCTGCATGTCTGATGCCCATCGCAAAAGTCCTGAACCTTTTTGATCGAACTGTTGGATTCGTGATCATGCTTTTGATTGCAATTATGGGTTTGATCATGATGGCTGCTTGCAACAATATTGCGACGTACTGTGCTGCACAGGTATGTTTGTATTAGCCCTCGACAGCTTTGGTCACAATTGCTAATCAAGCAACAGTCATTCTATACTGTTGGACTCACCGGTGCCATTTTCTGCATTGACGTGATAACCTCGGACACCTCGTCGCTTCGTGACCGAGGTCTTGCTTTTGCTCTCACCTCCTCTCCTAGCATGATCACGGCCTTTGCTGGCTCTCCTTTATCAAATCAATTCCACGAAACCAATTGGCGATGGGCATATGGGACGATTTGCATCATTCTCCCGATCGCTGCGCTTCCTTTGATTGTGACCTGGGAAATGGCCAAACGAAAGGCCGACAAGGCAGGTCAATTACATTACAAGCAGAAGACACAGCGATCTTGGAGAGAAGCTATTTGGTACTACATCATGGAATTTGATGGTTAGTCAATCTCAAATCGATTTCTTGCATCTTTACTCACCACTATTTGCAACCCACAGTGATCGGAATCTTCCTAATGATAGGCGGCACCATCCTTTTCCTAACATCGTTCAATATTGCCGGCAACACCGAAGGCCAATGGCGATCGCACAAAATTATTGCTATGATGGTTGTGGGATTCTGTGTCCTCGTAGCATTTGTCGCTTACGAGCGATGGCTGTCCCCGAAGCCTTTCATTCCATTCCATTTAATCACCGATCGCACCGTCATTGGCGCTTGTCTGCTGGATATTACCTACCAAGTCTCTTATTATTGCTGGGCCAGCTATTTCACCTCCTACCTCCAAGTCGTCTATAACACAAGCCTGACCCAAGCCGGTTACATCAGCGCCATTTTTGATTTCATGGACCCGGTTTGGCTCATTGGTTGTGGTTTCCTCATCAGAGTAACTGGTCGCTTCAAGTGGCTTCTCTACTGCGCCTTACCTCTCTACCTCCTGGCAAGCGGTCTGATGATTTACTTCCGCTCACCAGGTCACAGCGTGGGATATATGTGCATGTGCCAAATTTTCCTCGCAGTAGGTGGCGGAACATTCATTCTAATCGAGCAAGTTGCTGTTCTTGCTGCAGCCTCGCATGAAGACTATGCCGCCATGTTAGCACTTCTCAGCACATTTGGAAACATCGGCGGTGCAGTGGGCAGTAGTGTTTCAGGCGCTATTTGGACAAACACCCTTCCCGTCAAGCTACGCGAGTATCTTCCAGCCGAATTGAAGGACCAGTGGTCGGATATCTACGAGTCATTGGACATCCAACTCAGTTACCCGGTTGGTTCACCTGCTCGCACTGCTATCCAAAATGCATATGCATTCAGCCAGCGATACATGATGATTGCCGGTACAGCGGTAATGGGGCTTTCCATTGCCTGGGTGCTTATGATGAGAAACATCAAAGTCCAGTCCAACAAGGATCTTTCCAAGGTGCTTTTCTAGCTGGGTGACTAAAAATAGCAAGGGGTGCACTTGCTTCCGATAGATGTTTGGGTCCAAGGAGTGGATGGCTCAGCGCCAAATTTCTATTTACAGGGTGAAGAATATAATATATCAGCATAGTGCGGTGACCGAGCAGAGCAGGGAAGATAAATATACTCAAAAGTAACTTCCCATCCCTATTTTATCATCACCCCGAAGGTAGACGCGATATTAAGACGCTGTTGTCGGCGGTGAAGGATTACCAAGTAAGGCGCTATAGCGGTCGGTTCAATCGGTAAACACAAGTAATAACGTGGAATCAAAAAGTGATACGAGATAAAGTATGTAGAATAGAAGGGGAAAGTCCTCGAGTGCTCGAGTGCCAGACTAAATAATGAAATGAGAGTAAAGACTTTTGTATTGTAACATAAACCGGAAACAAGTATAACTTTTGATAACCTTACACCATAGACCATATACACCATAGCTCCAGCCATACCCCCGATACTCGCCAGATGCAGAGACCAATTCGAAACATGAATCAAGCGCTTGTGTGAACATTCCGGATATGCGCAGTCAAATTATCCTTTCGATTGAAAGACTTCCGACACTCTCCCTCGGGACATTCATATAAGCCAGGTGAGATGTGCTTCGTTTTAATATGGCGTAGCAGGGCTCCCATTTGGGAGAATCCACCAGAGTATTCGCAGTGCTTCCACTTGCACTTTAGTGGACTACCACGGCTAGATCTGTACCAGGCGAGTGTTAGAACCACACATATAAAAAGGATACACCACATAAGCAGAGTTGAAATGGAACATACTTGACACCCATCGAGACTTTACCATACGATGTAGGCCTCTGAAGGTTATCATCTGGGCTGATGATCGATCCTTGCTCTTCATCCGCAGTAGAAACGATTGTGGAGGTGATGTCAGACATCCCGTCATGAGGGTCGAGGCCAGGGGTATCAGCGGCATTAGCGCCCTCCTCAGTCGTGGGACCCTTCTCGTATTGGTCATCAGTGCTCTCATGGAGAGCGCCGCTTAACGTGGAAGGCGCAGGGTCATGGGTGAGGGGAGCAGAAGGGGGTTCGAGAAAATGATCATATGGAAAGTCATCCACAAGAGGGGACCAGGGGTCAGCAAAAATGCAGGAGAACGGGGGATCACTTTCGTTCCACTGATCTTCCCCCTCTTGGACGAGGTACGACAAGCCATCGTCGAATGGTTCTGTCATGGTGTAGATCGTAGTTCGCAAAAGCGGAAGGAACCAAGCTTAACAAGTTTCATGTAGAACGGGAATGATGAGAGCGACCTACATATAAATGCGGGGAAATTTCTGGGGTATCTACGACTTATATACTGAGCCTTGGAAGGGTCAGTGATGACCTGGCTGCCTTGTGAGGTATTTTGGCAGAGTTTTCATCACCCCAGCGCCACACGTCACCACGATTGGCGATCTCAGCAGGGACTTTGAGAGCGGGCAGCTCAGGGAGTGGCGCAGGCACGATATGGACGCATTGAATTTTTGAAACTTGACTGGATGCGCACCTTCAGGGCTTGTTCGGGTGCCTTGAAAAGGGGTTACGTGAGGAAGAGCCCCAATTGCCCATTGGTCTGACAGCTTTGAACTGTGGCTGTGATTTCCATTAGTTGAGAGAATCGAGATCTGACCAGGATCTCTCATGGCCCGAGCGTTTCTTTTGTTTTTCTATCGCACCCCGCGCCTCGATGATTTTGCACCCCTGTCGTCATCCAGGCGCAGTATGATAAGATTATTACTGGCCGACCATGTCGCAGATTTCTGAGGGAGTGTGATTCAAAAATCGTAAGGTATTATTGAAGGGGAAAAAACGAAGTTAGAATGACATCGGGCAGGGGATGAGATATCGAGCCAAATCTGACTAACCACTTTAAGCAACAAATATGGCCTGAGGCCACACTTCGGAAGATCAGTCAAAATATTGAAAGAGATCAATACATTATTTCCAGTAGTGGGGGTACTAGACTACATTCAGATCCACTTCGAAAGAGACCATCGGAATGATAGAATTCAGAAACTGTAAAAACAATTACATACGTGACTCTACCTAAATTTTATATACATTCTATGAGTAGGAGCGATATCAAACTGCATGTTGAGCTCTCCCCTTATGAAGATTACAGTGTAGCACTCTGACTGTTCCATGCGAGCCCTAAGGCTTTACTTTTCTCGTCAATCCTCTCGACCGTTGTTGGTTCTTGCTTTTCATGCCATATTCCAACTAGCATGTGCAGTCTGCAACTTTGGATGGAATACATGAAAGTTAAGAAGGCTCGGTATATGGTCTGTAGTAGATATTCGCAATGTCAAGGTAGCAGATGCACCAGAAGCCAGTATCTTGAATATTCTAGTCATCTTGCACACAACAGGGCTTCTAATCACTATCATACCCGATTTCATTCAATGACCATAGCAAATGAGAGTCATTATCTGGATCCTGAACCGTCTCGGCATTGTGAATCACCTCATCAACCCCCTTGACCTCTTCAAGTCGGGATTTCCCGGACTTGTAAAATACCATCAAGGCGTCCATCTGCTCATCGTGCTCCTCATTCTCACCCTTCTGGTATCCCCGAACACACAAGTACTCTAGCCCAACTGGTAGACAGTCTACCAGGTTTGACTTTCCTTTCTTCTTGTAGGGTTCTCCGTTAACGCCAGCGGCAAGGTATAACAGGAAGTTTATCCCCAAGCTCAATCGTTTCAAGGCCCCGAATTCTTTCAGTGACCCACGGTATGCCCATATCGATTTGTAAAATGCAGAGGTTTCGTCATCTATGCCGTGTTCAAACGGGCTTCCGATTTCATTGAGTCGTTTGTCTCTCTCGTCCTCGTCGGAGATTCCGAAGTCAAAGATCTCATTTTCCGCGTCAACGTCGAGAATTTCCAGTGTTTCCTTGTGTGCGCAAAGTACTTTGATGAATACTTTAGGACTGAATGTAGGGCAACCCCCATCATTGCTCGCTCTACCTCCGATAGAATACTGAAATTCTCTGAGGACTTTGCACGACCATATCAAAGTCGCAAGATAGAGGGAACTAACTGACGAATGATGGATGGAGATCTTGCTGATATTGGAACATTTCTCTTTGAATTCGCGCTCTCCGTTCTCATCCTCCTCCATTACATCAACACGGACGGATTCAATCGACAGAAGGTTATCAAATAGGCTCAAGCAGCCAGAAAGGTCCAATGGGACATAGAAACGATCATCAGACCAGGAATCATCGTTTTTGTTGATGATATAAACACTGCGGAGATTGCGAAGGCATGGTTTAGTTTCGGGACTAGCATTAGCTTGGCGAAGAAGCTCGGCAAGCGGAAAGTCGGTTACCCTATTAAAGCTAAGGCCAGTGGGATGTGTCATGGCCATTGACACAACGTTTGGCGATACCACAATCAGAATAGCTGTCAAGGCTTGGGTGACGAATGTACCGATGCTCTCACGTTCCCTACCCAACTAGTTAGATACTTGTACGGAGACCAATGTCGAAACACTATTCTTACCGATAGGCAAACGTTGCCGTTTTTTCCATCCTCTGCATAAGCATATTGATCACTCGATCCTCTTGGTCTATGAAGCCGCCTTTTCTAACCGCCTTTCGCACGAGATTCATCTCTTCCTCGCTCAATTCTCGTTGAGACTTAGCTTCCTTATAGCATATACGCCTGTATGTTGCGTAGCAGCATTCGACATGGCGCACGTAAGTACCTAGGTTAGGTCGCTTCAAAATATCCATCAACAGTTCGAATGACCTATCGATATCTTCCTCTGCTGAGGAGACACTAATCCGATGATACTTCTTGCGTGTTGCCATATCGCACATAGAGTGGAGGGTTCGACATTGTGCTGAGAGGGCGGCCACGTCGCGGTTGGAAAGAAGGTATGATATAATCCGCTGATGAACCTCGAGGGGCAGACTGAGGAATGACATTATTTTCTGCTCGGCTTCTGACAATGTGGAATTGGAGGTTTATTTAAACTACGGTTTTGTCTCGCTCAAAAAGGACTAGCCTAGGCATCCGCGCTGGAGCCTGAAACTTCGCGATCGCATTTGGAGGCTGTTGGCTACAAGTTTACTACATAGGTGGCTTCATAAGAAATCCTCTCAGTTTCAGTATTATAGGATGTGGGCTTTCACATGAGGGGTTGCCTAAATAGGTGGACCAAAGCTTATTGACTTGTGCCCAAATGACCGGTTACTGTATATTTTTATGTTGGCAATTGCTTTCATTCTTCCAGTAGAAGTGAAAGAAGAATTAAAAGGTGTTATGTTGTATAACAAATAACAAAATAGCATGTCATGATTGCCCCAAAAATATGCCGTTGACCCCGCAGAATCTCCCCGCGGAATCTCTTTCCTATTCTGGTGCCCGGAGATATATATTAATGGCCTCGTCCTGTTTGTCCAACTTCGCACATCTCCAACCTCAATTTCAAAAATGACCCAAATCTTCCTGTAACTAGCATTCCGTTTGGTAGTGCATGGTTCGTTGGTTGCTGACTTGTGACACAAATTCTAGTACCGGTGCCACGGGCTACATTGGGGGCGAAGTCCTCCACGCTTTGCAGCATGCACATCCTGATTACGAAATTGCTGCCTTGATCAGAGATAATGAAAAAGCAGGCAAGGTTCTAGCTGCATTTCCTAAGGTCCGTGTGGTTCTTGCAGATTTGGACAATGTCGAAATCATTGAAGAAGAATCCAGGAAAGCCGACATTGTTATCCGTGAGTATATTCACATGTGGTAGTATAGACTATGGTTAACATGCTGCATTTAGATGCTGCTAGTAACAAGCATCTCGAAAGCGTGAAAGCGATCGCAAATGGCATGGCGGGACGTCAGAATGGTACGCCATATACTGCTATGATGTTGCTTTCAGGGTTGATCGCTGATTGAAGTAAAAATACAGCTTACTACATTCAAGTTACTGGGGCTAGCGTTCTAGCAGGCCCCGAGATTGATACCAATTCATATGGCGAGCCCTCAGATCAAATCTTTGATGATTTGGATAACACTGCTGATCTCCGGGACATGATTCGGGCGTACAAAAATCGTCGAGTGGTGGATAACTACATTCTCGATTTGGGTTCAGGTGGCCCCAAGACTGCCATTATTTTCCCTCCTATCATATTTGGCACTGGTAAAGGTCCCGTGAATCAACGCAGCGTCCAGGTTCCCTCATTGGCCCGTGCCACTCTACTGCAACGTGTTGGTCTCTATCTTGGCAGGGGACTAAGTCGATGGGGCATTATTCATGTCTCTGATTTGGCCGATCTCTTTGTCAAATTGGTGGAGCATGCTGTCAACGCCACTCCTTCTCCTATCTGGAATGAGAACGGACTTTTCTTTGTGGAAAACGGCTTCGAGGTTGGTTCCATATTAAGCCCCAAATTATTGATACTGACCTTTTTTTCCTTGCTACAGAGCTTCAAAGATATCGCTTCATTGATTGCCAAAGAGGCACATAGCCTCGGTCACATTGATTCACCTGATTTGGTGAAATCCATGAATCTCGATGAGGCCAACGTAGTGATACCCCATGGAGCTGTGTTTCTGGGTACCAATGGTCAAGGTCGAGCTTTGCGGGCAAGAAAGCTGTTGGGATGGCAACCCGATGGCGAGAGCTTCCAAAAGGCCACGCGGGAGACAATCATTGCTGAAGCTGCACAGCTGTGATCATTTTCAAGAGGCATTCATTGCAGGCCAGTATAAAATCTACAATTGATATTTGTTTGACCTAGCCATAATTTTCCGATCTATCTCGTTCTATGTATTAATTACACAGTCTTTATATAGTGGTTCCCAATGGGCATGTTATAGTCTTAGGGCTTTGGTGTCCACGGGACTATATATATATAAGACAGGAGCATTCCATGCACTCAGAAGCTTCGCGAAAAAAAAAAATAATAAAAAAAAAAAAAAATATTATACTAACCGATACGATATATCTCAAACTATTCACGTAAGTATTGACCTTCAGATCTTATGAGACATGGCTGCGATAAGAACTGGCGAGCTTTGGGAGCCGTCCTACGAAGCGGCTGGATTAATCGGAAACTTACCCGGAGCCATCAACAGCCAAAAAGCCATCTAATAGAATTTCTCCTCCCACCTGCATGTAGTTTATCAAGATGAAATTCATATTTCAAATATGTTTCTATTTATCGACAGTGAATGAAATTCTTGAAAAAAGTCTTAGTCATCGTCCCCGCCGCCTTGCTTGACCGCCTCCAAATTTGCCGGACTTTACTTTTTTTCCTTTACGATTTTTATCACCGCCAAACAGCCCTCTTTCTCATCCCAATACATTGCTTTCTTTAACTCTTCTCCACCTCGTCGTCCGCAATCATCATGGCGACTCTGGCGGAGAAGCTTGAGAAGATCAAGTCTCCCAAGTTGCAGAACCAGCATCACGTAAGTTTTCCCGGTTATTGCCCGATGAATTGACTAACGTATTGACCCGTGAACAGACTGCTGTGGTGCTCTCTGCAGTTGAGGACACTCTCCGTGATCAAAAGGCAGATTTCTCACCTACCGCATATTTTGCCGCTCTCCTTGCACTGCTCTCGCAGTCACTGTCCGCATCCCAGGGCATTGTCAACAAGGACTTAGCGACCTCCGTTGTCTACCTACTCGACATCACAACCGTTTACGTCCCCGCGCCGATCCTTTGCGCCAAATTCTCCCAAATTCTCGAAGGTCTTGCACCTGCGCTTTCTCTCCCTGAGGTCGAGGCCCCGCTCCTGCGTCCTTCAATTGGTTGTCTTGAGTCTCTGCTCATTGCCCAGGATGCTGCATCATGGAACCTCCCACACACACAGGTCGGCCCGCGACGCGCGATGGCAGGTCTGCTGAGTCTCTCAGTTGACCACCGGCCCAAGGTGCGGAAGCGTGCCCAGGAGGCTCTTGTCAAGGTTCTCAAGGCACCCCCGCCGAGCCCGTCTCTGGACCACCCAGGTGCGGATATGTGCGCTCAGTCTGCGATGAAGACTTTGGGTGATAGCATCACAGCCGCTCACAAGCAGAAGAAGGGCCGTCATGACGCTCAGGCCAACAACCACGAGCCCCTCATTATTCACTCACTGCAGCTGATCAAGACCATTGCCTCAGCGTCAGGTGGCTGGCCCAGCAAGAAGATCGAGCCGCTCTGCGAACTTCTCATGAACGCTTCCCGGTCTAGCAACGAGTACATCACCATGGGTGCCTTCGAGGTATTTGAGGTCATTTTCGAAGGAATGGCTGATGAGTTCTCGTCTTCTAAGCTGCCCCGTCTTTTGGATGCTATTTCCGAACTCAAGCCTGCACAGAATGACTCCCAGCTTCTCCCACCTTGGATTGCGGTGCTCTCGCGCGGTTACGATGTGGCCGCACAAATCACTCCCGAGGATACTTTCGAGAAGTTGCCGGATCTGTTCACCTTGATTTCTGGATTCATGGCTTCGCCTTCTAGCAACATCCGCGTCTCCGCATCTGAGTGTCTGATCTCATTCCTGCACAACTGTATCCCCAACTCTGTTATTGTGGACCCATCTGTGTATGATGAAAAGACCTTGGAGAAGTTGTCTCGTGCAGCCGTTGACCTTCTGTCGGTGAAGTACCAGGCTGCTTGGAAAGAAGTCTTCAATGTTTGCTCTGCTCTGTTCGATTGCTTCAAATGGCGATCGAGCCCGTATCTTGTCAAGATTGTCTCCACAATCGGTGAGCTGCGCAGCAATGGCGGCTTCCACGGCAAGAAAGAGGCCGATGCTGTTCTTGGTAGTGCTATCGAGGCAATGGGCCCTGAAGCAGTGTTGGAAATTCTTCCCCTCAACATTATTGAGCAGAAGGCCGGTCAACCCGGCCGTGTCTGGATGCTGCCTATTATGCGCGATAGCGTGACCAACACGAATCTCCGCCACTTCCGTACCGAACTCGTTCCCCTGAGTGAGGCACTTTACCAGAAGGTGGTGAACTTTGGTGCCGCTGAGAAGTCCGTGGAAGTAAAGATTTTCGAAACCCTCGTCCAACAGACCTGGGGTACCCTTCCCGGCTACTGCGAGCTGCCACTTGATCTTGTCGAGGCATTCGACCAGTCATTCGCTGAGCTGCTGTCTAACGTTCTGTACAAGCAGACCGAATTGCGTGTAGATGTCTGCCGTGCTTTGCAGAACCTGGTTGAGTCTAACCAGGCTATTTTGGAGGTCGAAAACGATGAGGATGATCTGATCTTGCAACGACGCATCACCAAGGCCTCTGCAAAGAAGAACCTTGCTCATCTCGGCGGTCTTGCGAGCAACCTGCTGGCTGTGTTGTTCAATGTCTATAGCCAGACCCTTCCTCACTACCGTGGCTACATTCTACAGTGTATCAATGCCTACTTGAGCATTACCCCTGAAAATGTATGTTCACCTCCAGTTTTGGGTACAAATCACCACAAACTAACACCTTTGATAGGAGCTGAACGAGACCTTCAACCGCGTTACTTCAATGCTTGAGTCTTCTCTGGCTGCCGAGCAAGAGACAGCAACCAAGCAGGGTGCTCAGTCTCAGGGCTCAGCCGACAAGATGCCGCCGACCTCCCACACCCTGATCGATCTTGTCATCGCTATGTCAATCTACCTCCCTCGCTCCAGCTTCAGTGGCTTGTTTTCCATGGCGGCAGCCATCCTCAACAGCTCATCCCCCAACCCGGATCAGCAACTCATCAAGAAGGCGTACAAGTTGATTCCCCGGCTTGGAACAACTGAGACCGGCCGCGCCGCCCTCCAGGAGCGTAGTGGAGAGTTGCAGGCTCTCATGCTTGCCACCACCGACACCACCCCTGCGTCTGGCCGCCGTGACCGTATGCTCGCTATCGCCGAGATGATCAACCACCTGCCCACCTCAGATCTCCACTTCATCCCAGCAATCCTGTCTGAAGTGGTTCTGGGCTGCAAGGAAAGCAACGAGAAGACACGCACAGCGGCCTTTGACCTGCTTATTCTCTTGGCCAAGCGCACAATCGACCCGGAGCGTAATCCTCCCGGCACTGTCATCCGCAGATCTCTTGTGCCAGGTGTGGCAGACGATTCCCCAGACGCCCCCGCTACCCTCGAGGAGTTCTTCACAATGGTCTCAGCCGGTCTGGCTGGCTCTGCTCCTCACATGGTGGGCGCCACCGTCACTGCACTTTCCCGTCTGTTCTTCGACTTCCAGACACAGTTGCAGCCTGAGATGCTCAAGGAACTTGTTGAGACCGTTGAGCTCTTCCTTACATCCAATAACCGTGAGATCGTCCGCTCTGTCCTTGGCTTCGTCAAGGTTGCAGTCGTCGTTCTCCCCGACGAAACCCTGCGTCCCCGCCTGAACACCATGGTCCCCAGCCTCATGGCTTGGAACAAGGAGCACAAGGGTCGTCTCCGTAGCAAGGTGAAGGGTATTATCGACCGACTTGTGCGTCGCTTCGGTGCTCCCCTCCTAGAGGCTATCGTCGGCGAGGAAGACCGCAAGCTCATAGTCAATATCCGCAAAGCACGTGAGCGCAGCAAGCGCAAGAAGAAGGAGGGTGCCGAAGGTGAAGACGAAGACGAAGAGGAGAAGGCCTCCAAGCCTCAATCCGGCAACGCCTTCGACAAGGCCGTTTACGGCTCTGACTCCGACTCCTCTGACAACTCGGATGACGGTGACAGTGATGTCGACGTCGACAACGTCGCTCAAATCAAGGGCCGCAAGAAGAAGGCAGGCCAAAGCACCCAGTACATTCGTGAGATGTCTCCCGAAGACAATCCTCTCGATTTGCTCGGTTCCAACGCTCTGGCCAGCATTTCCACCACCAAGCCCAGCCAGCGTTTCCTCAACACAGGCCCCGGCTCGAAGAAGAAGCGCTCCGCCAAGGTCGATGCTGACGGTCGTCTTGTTCTCGGCGATGATGGTGATGTCGTCGCTGAAGATGTCGAGATGTCTGGTGCTGGCGATGGTGGCGTGAACGCGTACCTCGCTGCTGTTAGTGGTCCCGATGCTGTTCGTCGTGGCCAGCGCGGTAAGGTGAAGATGGGCCAGTCGTCGAAGAAGAATGCTGGCGACAGCATGGATGTCGATGAGGACGATCTGAAGAAGGACCTGCGCGCTTCTGGATCCGGTCAGAGCTCTGGTCGTCGTGGTCTTGGTGCTCCCAAGACTTCTGGCGCACCTGGCGGTGGTCGCATTGAGAAGCGTCGCAATACTGGTACCGCTCCTCGAGGTGGTGGTCGCTCTGGATGGGGCAAGAAGAGATAAATTTACTTCATAGTAAGTCGTATCCCTTTTTGGTCTCGGGGTCGGATACTGTAGAAGAGAAGGAGGGTGGCATCTAGCAGATCCCGGAGTTATCGTTCTCAGTTTTTGATTTTTGTTTCTGCCATCTGGTCTTCGGTCCCTGTCGTGCTTGGTTACGTTTTCATAATACCCTCCGCTGTGGTGATTCCGTTGACTCTGGGCTTTTTCCTGTTCCGAGAGTTGTTCGATTCCGTCTTTTTCATGATATGATTACGATTCTGTTCAAAAGTTTCTTTTAGGTCAATGGACATAGATATTGTTTCACTTTTTGTAAGATGTTAAGTAGTCTATAAGCTCTTAAATATCATGTATTTAGCAGCGCTGGTCTTCTCTTGCTGTATCGAACTTCTATTGAATAGGGGAATTATCCGATATCCCATGGCGTCGACATGCTTCTAGTCAAGTACACTCAACTACAGCCAAGTCTTCCAGAATCTCAATGCATTATGACTTTTATCATAATCTCATTTGCAAAGCAGCATATCGTGCAAAAAAAAAAAGTGTATCGAACATATCAATCAGAACTTCATGAACGCGAGCCAGCCAACCAGGCAGCTCAGCAGTATTTCCCACAGCCCCCATCGCTCGCCCAGAGTGTAGAGTGCAAAGGAACAAATAACAAAGAAGCGCCGAGCTCTAGACCAGACATGACATCAAAGCTATATCGACCACTTCCTCGTATACAGCAGACAATAGACCACCGATCTAGCATCCGAATCCAGCCAAAACTCCATCGCCGATGCAATTCAAATCACAATCCACGGCGCATAAATCGACACCGTCGCTGGGTTATCGACTTGTCCTGACGCCCGTTCCTTTTCGGTCTTTCAAGGTATCAAAATGTCAGATACCCCGGGAAAAGCAAGCGGTAAGTCGAAGCACACAGACCAGAGAAATATGGTCTGGCACACACTGACCCCAGCAGACCACAGACAAGCAGGTGGTAATAACTAGAACAGAATCTCTCCACTGTGCTCTGGTTCGAAGCCGAGCGCTTGCAGTTCATCGTAGCGCTTCTTATCGCCTGTTTTCCGCTTCGCGTCCTCCTTCTTTTTCAGCTCGAAGACTTCCTCGAATGGGGCTCTGGTCAGTGTGGGTGGGATATCGTCTTCGCGGTCGAGATCCTGTATATCAATGCATTAGCGAGATTCTTTAGATTGTCTTATTCCTGTAAATCTTGTGGGATTGAGGGATTGAGGGATTCGTACCACTTCGCCTAGCAGGAGCACATTCTCTCCACGAACGATGAAAATTCCACGTGAGACATCAGCATACAACTGTCCGGCATAGACGCGCTCTACGGTATCCTGGAAAACGAGATTTGCTGTGGTTTGAATGTAAGATATAAGGACCAGAGATTTGGGTTGAGTGTGCGACTGTACCGAACTGATCCCAGCTTCGGAGGACACCGATGAGTTTGCGGCCGTCACGGAGGATGAGGACTAGTTTCTCTGCAATTGCGTTAGCTATATCCTCTCGTTCTTTCTGAGCCGCTCTGACTACGCATTGAACATACTATCTGTTAGATCGAGCAGTTGTGCGGCGGTCGTGAACATCTGAGGGGGTAATTGCGGTGGCCCGCCTGTAGGCTGGGGTCCTGCTGGGCCGAGGGCATTCTGGGAGAATTGTTGGTTTTGCTGCGGGGTTCGAGGAGCCGGGGCAGGGCTTTCGTTTAGAGATAGGCGCTCCATCGTGTGGTGGTTGGATAGGGGAGAAAATCGCAAAGCAGTGGGGAAGGTGGTGTAGGCGGTTAGAGGAGACAAATGCAGAGAGATTCAGGACTTTGATGTGGAGGTTCTCATTCTGCTTCTTTCGATCATCGCGATGGATCGAAGTCGCAAAGGCCGTCATCAAGGGCGGTGAGTTTGTCTTGTTTGCTCGGGATCTATATATTTTGGGCTTTTGATATTCTTCTCTTGTAGAAGAGAGAACAGATAATCTAAGGGAAAAATACAGTATTTCTAAAGAAAAAAAGTACATGCTATACAGCGAAAGGGGGAATATCCAGAACCAAAAGAAAAACCAAAACCTCGAAGCCAACAGAAAGTGTCTTATATCTACAAAACCCCGACACCCCTCTGCTGTCCCCTCATTCTCTCCTCCCGGCGCTTACTATACGGCGCACAGTATGGCTCATCAGCAGAGCCAATACTAGCCCTAACCCCATCCTGCGAACGATGATAAGCCGGACTCGACGGCGCAGGCGGCAACTGCATAGCCTTGAACTGCGCATCGGTGATAACTCGCATCCCATAAAGATACCGCATAAGCTCAAAATCCGGCCGACTACCGGAAAGCGTCTGGCCCAGACAATAATGGTCCACATCGACATGGTCGAGCATACGCTCCCATGCAGAGGGCAAGTCTGTCAGGGCTTGAACGCCGTCGCTAGAGTGGGCCGACTCGGTGCCCTCGGGGACCGGCGACGACACGGGGTCCGAGATACCGTCGACAAATTTTGTGTTCGGACACAGCGGACACCGCGCTGACGGAGGGGTCGGGTGTGAGCGAAAGTGGCTGAAGACGTGAGTGCGCCACTCCGCGCCGTCATTGAAGGACTCATGACAGTCCAGCATATGGAAGAGACATGCGTATTTGCGCTGCTCAGTGGCTGTTAGAGATATGGGTATTGACGGCGTCGCGGATGATATAGAGGCTGCTGCGGTGGTATCCCAGGATGAGAGCGAGGCGCGCGATAGAGCGGGCTCTAGGGGGCTGTCGGTGGTGGTTAATGTCATGCCACCGAGAACGTAGATCCCATCTATGCTGCTATCTCTATGCGGGGATTCAACGCCAGTCCCGGACCTGGTATCTATTGATGAAATTGACGGGGACGGCGATGCGCTAGATAAGTCCGGCACGGGCGAAGATGACATGGCGACGACGACGCTCGGTTGCTTTTGTTTTTTGGGTTGCTTTTGCGACAAGGCGGGGTTCCTACTTGAAGCCGTGCTGGCGCTGGCGGTCGAACTCACGCTAATACCGACACTGCGGGCAGAAGAGGATCGGCGATGATCCCGATCTCTATGTCGGTCTCTATTTGAGCGTGGTACGATAGGATCGAAGTCGCCTCGAGGGTCATCGGGGCTTGTGGGCTTGCGCTCCGACATGCTCCGGCAAAAGATGGATGTCTATTGCGGATGGATACGGCTGAATCGCGTCAGAATCGGGGCTTACATACCAATATAGTAACACATGGCAGAAGTAGAGAGGTAGAGGAAAGAGAAGTAAGAGGGGAAACGGGAAATACATACACCCCGGATATCAGATCAACACTTCTGATCTGCGGGTTTTTTTTTTTTCAACATGCATGACATCTAGCCGTGTCTGCACCTATGTACTTGATTTCCTCTGCCACTTCTTGGCTTTTCCCTTTCAGTTTTAGTGTCACTAGAATGCATAAATAATGAATTCTACTTACTAAAAAGGCCCACGGGCGCCCACGACGCCCACAGCCCGTGGGCCCTAAGGGTAGGGCCCGTCCATAGGCCTATCCATAGTTAGGGCCCATTTCCCGCTTATGTAAGGCCCGTGGGCAGTGCCCACCCGTCCATGGGCGATGTCGCAGTCTACGCGGTATCCTTTTTGGATGCAACGCGTAGACATTTCTTACTATCGCACCTAACGAGTCTCGCGCATCAGATCGGATCGCAGATCTCCGATGGGCACAAGCTAATTTCTCTATTTCTCTTTTAGCCGTAATCCTGTGCTCCCTCCATTGTTTTCGTAACGCATTTCTAGAGGCTAGAGACCTATGCTATGTTGAGCTATTTTAGTTTCCCTTTCATCCGGGGTTATAGGGAGTCTTTATTCATATGGTACAGGACAGTATAGGTTTAACTAGAAGCTCTGCTGTATTCAGTGCTAGGGATTAATGATAGACAATCGTAAAGTAATAACGCTTTATGGTCCTGAGCGACATCAATCCTCAACAGCACAATCCTCTTGATCCTCTTCAATTTTTGCCACTCAATTCCTCCTCTTCATCATATTCGACGACCATGACCTTTCGTCCTTGATACCACGCAGGCCCGATAAGCTGGCACGAGCCTGGAACACTGATATCGAACGGAAGTCCCTCAGTTAAAGGTGTATCATCTGATTCAGAACCCAAAAGCTGACGCAGTCGGGAGTCCTTCTCCCAGTTACGTAGAGAGACATTCCGTCGCAGAGTTGGCGTTGTTAGTGGGGAGGCCTCAATCGCCTCGGCGAGCATTTTATCGATCCATGCGATAATTTTGGCCTTGTCGAGACGCCAATCAAATACCACAGAAGAGAAAAGCCGCCGTTCCGAGTCCATGAACCAGAACTGATATCTAGTACTATCCGTCGTGATTCCGAAAGCAACAGCATGGATCTTTGCGATTTTGGCCCGACAGTCCTGCACAGCTGCGAGATATGTAGCCATTTGACGGTCGGCACAGGAAAACTCGCAACTCCGCTTAGCCTCTATAGCAATCAACGCCGAATCAAAGCCATATTGAGGGTCATCATGGCAAAGTAGCCAGTCGGCACGGCCAGTGATATACGCATTGCCGCGTAAAAGATTGATATCTACCTCCGGATAGAGCTGTAGATGTTCGAGCGACCCTTTATCAGAAAGGTGATGGAGCCGGTCAAGAATGATTAGCTCGATAACGACGCGTACAGAAGCTTCTGAGTTATCGATTCTGTGGTATTCTGAGATTTGGAGTTGGTGAATGACACTGTCTACATTAGGAGACAAGGTAGCCGAGGGAGAGTTATCGATGTCTGGCGGATTCCAAAGATCCATCGGGTTATGTGTGATCTCCAGAACAGTACAGGCCACTCCAAGGGTTTTGAAATCCCTAGCAGCATAATGGACGCCGGCGACGTTCTTTGCAAAGGCGAGTTGTTGCATTAAAGGTGATAATACTGTAAGCTGCTCGGCCGCACGGGATCGAATGACAGGATCATCGCTGTTCATATCAGCGAGCATATCCGAAAAGCAGTTAAGTGGCTCGAGCATGTCAGGATCAATCGTAGGAACGAGTTTTCGCCGCTTGTTCGACTGGAAAGCCTGGCTTGGCGCTTGGCCTGACGTCGACCACTGCATGGCTAGCTCTGATAGCTGAAGTTGCTAAATGCTTGGTAACTGGTAATGATCTCCATAAAGACAATGACAACCTTGAGTCAAGACGATGATCACAAGAAAGTAAGAGCGGCCCGGGACACTATACTTCAAGGAGAATGCGGATAGCAGACCAGGGTAGGCGGTGACACTTCAAAGTAAACTACAGAGAAGATAGAGTTTGATTTTAGTGAATGTTCTTTATTCTATTCCTGGGCTGTTTTAGATTCGATCACAAAGACATGAAGTAGTATGTAGTATGTTATATCCCACTATACAGATTTTGCGGGGCGATATCACATGCAAATATAAGATATAAGATATGAGAATTTGAGATTTTTTTATTTTGCTCACAATGTGAGGAATTAAGTAAGAGAAGAGAAACAGAATGAGACCACGGGCCTCAAGAGAGGAGAATGACATATAAAAAAAAGAGGAGCAGATCTTTCGATACAGAATTTTGAACTTGAAAAGGAAAAGGTCTCCAGACAGGAGTGAACAGGCAAAAACAAAACCCAATCCGTCTATTTGGTGGCGCCAGAGATAAAATCAAAACCAATCCGACACCGTTGATGCCCGCAAGCCAGGGTAAAAATGCACAAGTCTATATCGTTTCGTAGCGCGCATAACATAAGTTTTCAAGGCAGACATCAGAAGTTTTAGAACCGGTCTGCCAAGTCACCGCCAGCAACAGAATTGTTGGCTGACGAGTTCATGGAGGAAAACCCGGTCGCGGGGTTGAGCATATCCTGCACCGCAACCTTGGGAATCTGGGGTACCGGCAACTTGCGCTGCGTGCCGTCAGGTTTCGACATGATATCGGAAATGGTTGGACCCATATGACCCTGGTTGGGGCTGTAATAATTAGGACCTTCTGGCTGCGGCTCCATAGGAGCCAGCGCAGGAGTGTGCTGAAGGGACAGATGGCGGATTGAAGGCAGATGCAACTCGCTGGCACCGAGAGGGCGCAGACGGGGCGAGTGTGCAGGAGTAGCCAAGGGAGTGTGGTCGGGGGTAGGAGACAGAGAATCGTGAGAGAAAGTAGGAGAAGAAGGAGCAGTGGAATTTGGTGAGTTGGGACGAGAGCGCTTGACACGGTGGCCATAGCCATCATCGTCATCGTTGGAATGCGAACGAGTCATGTTCTGCGAAATCGCATACGCAGAAAGCGAAGGGAGACCACGGCTGCCATGATGACGGGAGCCAAACATTTGGTGTCCTCGAGAGCCGTGGAAGCCCATGTGGTCATCACGCTCTACTTGCGACGCAGCTGTAGCCAGAAGGTTGATATCCATTCCGGAAGAAGCACGCTCAGTGGTGCGAGAGTAAGGACCCAAATTTGAGCGCATGTGATTGGCGTAGTTGGAGAAAGAGTGAGGAGGTGAAACATCCGGAGATCCGACCTGCGAGACTGGAGCGGAGCGAGTGATGGGCTTGCTGGGAGGCGGCATCATGTTGGCAGCGTTGACCATGCCATTATCTTGGCCTGCTGCGGCTGCGGCCGCTGCCAGGTGCTGAGCCTTGTTGCTGCGGCGCGAGTTGGGATTGTTGTGAATACGCGAGTGGCGAGTGAGTTCGTCTGAGCGACTGAAACGCTTCGTACAACCGGGGAACTGGCATGCGTGTGGCTTCTCGCCAGTGTGCGTACGGATGTGCCTAGTCTGGTGCTCCAGACGGTGGAAGGCACGGTCGCAAAGAGGACATTTGTACGGCCGAGGCAGATCCTGGCGGACCTCCTCGTTTGCAGGACGTGCACCCTTCATGAGAGGCGGTAACAAGCTAACTGAAGAAGTCATTGAAGAGTCTCCTGGAGTCGAAGGTGTCGATTCGGGAGAGGTTTCTTTAGGGTTAAGTAGATTTGAGAACCCCACTGAAGAACCCGGTAGTGGCATGTGAATTCCCGGACAAATTTATGAAGGATCGTTCTGAAGGGGAGGACCGATTGGTTTTGTCGCAAGGATCCTAAGCTAAGGTCGATCAAACACCCGGTTTGGGATAAACGGTCGATCGGGATCGGAGCGCAAAGGATTCTGATAGTTGAAGAAGTCGAGTACCAGTTTGTGGAGTATTAAAGCAAAGAGCAAAGAAAGGGAAAAAAAGGAACCTGGAGACGACGATCTGGGGAGGGACAAATAATATAGGGAATGGAGGGGGAAGGGAGAAATCGGGGGAGAAGGGGCAGTGTCGGAATCGGACTTGGAGAAAAGAAAATTCTGAAAAATTCAAGTTCAAAAAGCAAAAAATTGAAATTGAAATTCAAAAATTAAAAAAGGAATTAAAAAAATTAAAATAAAATACAAAAATTTGAACAGATTCTCAAAAGAGTGTGGGGGAGAAGAAGGGGACTGGGGCAAAATAGGAAAAGTGGGAAATTTTCAAAAAAATGAGAAAAATGAAAAAATACCAAAAAAGGGAAATTTAAAAAATGAAAATGAAAATAAAATTGAAATAAAAAAAGAAACAAAAAAAAAGACCATATCCTTAGTTTAGGGGTAAGATCAACCTCATATTGTTACAATATAGAATCTAAACTATTAACTATCAAAACTATTTAATCCCAATTATGTAGCCTTTACTCCAAAAATGACTGTACAAAAAAAAAAAAAAAAAAAAAGGGAAAGAAACTCCCCAACTGCATAATATTGTTAAAAAATAGAATCTAAACTATTAACTATCAAAACTATTTAATCCAAATTATGTAGCCTTTACTCCAAAAATGACTTTAAAAAAAAAAAAAAAAAAAAAAAGGGAAAGAAACTACGTAACTGCATAAAGCAAAAATGTGGGGACTCGCATTTTTCCTGAAGAACCGTGTGGCGTGAGGTGCGTGTCCCTATCCGGCTATCGCGCCTCTGGAGAATTTCTTATCAGAACATGGGGAATTTAGGAATTTCTACTGGCTCAAAATATGGCCTATCTTAAGTGGATGACCAAGAATGATGGCATGCGGAGAGCAAATGACCAACAGAAACCGGGGAATCTCTTATATAAACTTATACTCCGTACGGAGTACGGTATAACTCTTGAGATACCCTACAAAAGAGACTCAAAGTCTGGGGGTTACGGTCATTCTAGGCCGGACCAAGTCCAGGCCCATGTACAATGGAGATCCTGGGGACCATCTGATCCTGTCACGGAGTGACGATAGCGAGGATCATCGATGATGTCGATACCTGGGGGTGAAATATCCGTTAAATCTTCTTTTGTAATCATTCAGTCACGCGAAAACACAGGTCATCCAGTGCAAAGGTATAAAAATGATTCGCCACTGTTCTGCTTCATCATCCGGAGGGATCTTCCCCTCGAACCCTACAATGGCCGTATAAGACCCTGGAATCCTCCACTCAGGTTGGCCGATAATCCCCGGATTCCTGGGGGTAGAGCTATGATTTTTTTTATATATATATATATTTAATTTTTATTCCAACTCCTTGATTATCATACGATAAAGTGAACCAACAGCTCTGATAGGTGCGGATCACTCCAATTATTGATAGCCCTGATGCAACTACCATGCAGCCGCAAAGCCGCGTATCTCGACAAAGGGACCAAAGATGCCAGTGTCAGCCCCTGCACAATGAGCGCTAGGCTGCATTCCTTGCGAGACAGCGATATCCCCGGCTTGCCAAGACACCCAAGTATAGAAAGTGACCAGGGGGCGTAGATTTCCTTTTTCTTGGCCGGTTGAATCTCAAATCCAGGGTAATAACCGGGGGTCTGGGGCCCCGGTTCTCAAAAATCAAAATTAAATGCATTTATTATTCTCCTATCTGTGGCACAGGTTCACGCCTCTCTCCGTGCTCCGTACTTGATATGGAGTACATAGGCTATTTCACCCCGAAGTTCCTCCGGCTTCATTAAGGGCCGAGGTACGGGATAAACGGGGATAAACAAAGATAGCCCACTCGGCAAGGCCGTGCCGCCGAGAGTCCAGTTTCCCCTTTTGATGATAAGGCGTTATCTTCCAAGGTTGGACCGGGGAGAATCTCAATTTCAAGGGGTAAATTTTACATATACACCTGGGCATATTCCATAACCACTACCACCAAATTGTATAATCGTATAATGTACAGAGGACTCTCTATGTATATATGTACATCTTGAAGGCCAGTGCAGGGGCCCTTTAGTGGCAGATCTTAACAAATTTTTACGGGCAAATTCAGCCGGTCCCCACAGTTCCCTGGGGATATTGGCTTAGGTCCCCTTGGCAAATCACTATTTAGCAGACAAAAAACGAAAGATAACAGGGCTTAACCATGCTGCTATGCCGGCCCGACGACCAAGTCTGTACTTTTGAGCTGTACGGGGATCTCGAAGAAATTGTTCTAATCCCTGTTCTCCTGACTTTTGAATGAAAAGCACACAATATACCCGGCACACTGCCGTAATCTGGAGTACTCCATCTTTCTCCACGGGGAATATGGCACCATGGAGAATTTCCGGATTCGGTGTAGCAATATGTAGATAGCCTATTATTTTATTTATTTTATTATTTTAATTCAAAAAGCAGGTACCATTCAGCAATTACCCGCATTTTGCCGATATTTGCGACGTGTAAATAGTTATATGTTGTAAATCATGAAACCAAGATGTGAGGTGTTTCTGTTTCAGGTGACGAGTTCGCTCTTACACTTTATTAGATATATTTACTATCGGATTCAAAATCCCGATATATTCCCTTTCCCTGCTTTCCTACAAGATCCACAAAGCTCCGTCCTCCGGACTGCCTTTCTAGGTGCATAGATAGTGGGGGAAACCCAAACCAGTAGTTCCGATTGCCGATTGCCCAAAATCGCAATATCACGGCGTGAGAACCTCATCCCACAAACCGGTATAGTCGACCTTTTTATGACTGATTAAGTTTATCAAGCCAATACAATACCCAGTGATCACCATTCCCCAACACAGATAAGTACTCCATATCTCATCACCTCTACCCCGCAATCCTCAAGGCGTATCGCTTGAGAAACTCGAAACTGCACGCGCAGGAATAGATCTGCGACTGACATCTAAATCTTCCTGCCACATCTGCCTTGATCGTCGCGATCGCCCGCAGGATGGGATCCTCCGATATCGCTGTCGTCATGGGGGCGCCTCTCCATAGGTCGATCTATCACGCCATCCGGGGAAAGCTGGCAATCTTTGTATCCCGTATATTGTACACGAGGACATCTACTTGCGGACTTGAAATGTATACCGCTCACATTGGATTGTGATCCATTCTCAGCATTCTTCCCTTTTCTTCCCGACAATGCTGATCAATCCCATTATTCTGCCTAGGTGGCATGCAGACCCGCGCACAGGGCGGGTACGTCGATCCTAGATGGGGAAAAAAAAGCAAAAACAAGTCCTACGGACCAAAAAAAAAAAAGAACCAAACTAAAGAAAGGAAATGGGAAACAAAAGAAAAAGGGAAAATAAAAAACAAAAAAAGAAAAAGTCAAAGGAATGCTCGATTGGGGGCGTGGAGATCCCCCCGGACTCCCTCCGTTATCAGTCCGGAGCCTCGTTGTGTTCCGTGTGGAAATCCCTTTTCTATCCGAGTTCTTTCAGTTGAAGGGTATATTAGTCAAGATGTTATTAACGACCAGTGATATCTATTTCTAGTACCTAACAGTTCGCTATCGACGCCCCCGCACACCAGATCATCACGCAAGATAGCGCCGGGTGAGAGAATATTTTTTATATTTCTCTATTATTCACGCCTTATTCTTGGATATTATTAACTCAACAGAGATTTTCTATGCTAAGGCATTAGTGTATGGGGTTCGGGTCTGGGCGCGACCCTTTCAGCCCACACCCCCTTGCTACATGGGACTTAAAAACAATCCTGGTACTTACGACTTGCTACTGGCTGTACTACATCTAACACGGTGTGAGTCATGACGTGCTCACGTCTCAGCTCAAGGAATATCCAAGCTGAAAGCGCCTAGAAAAACTAAAAAGCAAAAGTGACAGGCCAGGTCTTTGGCGCTCTGTTTCCAATCGCCCTGCTGGCACCGGGTTCTGTCTCCTGTTTTGCTGCCTGGAACTGAAACCCCAACCATACGGAGCAAGAAGCGCCACCAGTCAGCAAAACAAAGACGTAATTACCTCGGTGTCAAAAGCGGGAGGTGTTAAGATGAATATAATGGAGCACAGTTGTATATTCGGAAGAGTGTATGGGGTAGAGTTCCATCCTGTCTCAAGGTGACATTTGGTTATGCTTGGCAGGTCTCGATGCGGGGGGGAGTAGTTTCAAAAAGGGAGAATCCGGGGTAGGGTTGGCTTTGGAGCAACATTCCACAAAAACTCAAGGGACCTTTTTCGGGTCCAGTTGCTTTGTACGTGGGGGCGTATATGTTTCTCAAAAAGACACATATGCTTTGAAGAATTCACAGTGCAACCCTAATCACCTCTTTTACATGTGATTACATAATAGATTTCCCAATTAGGCAGCCAAGTATTAAAGGACATTCCATTATGCACACTCACTTTTCTTATTGCCCTCAATACCAAGGCGAGTGATCAGCGATCCACACCTTCTGGAACAACTATCCCCTGCGCCCAATAAGCGATGCGAGTGGTCTCACACTGATATCACCATATGCGGGGCCGTCATTCCGGAGTCCGCGATCAGGCCATTGGTGGAATTCTTACATTTGTCCGGGAGATTACACCCTATCTATCTACTTAATGAGATCTGGAGAACATGTGATATTCTGGGGAATATAGTTGGTAGATAACAAAAAAAAAAGGAGAGAGAGAGAGTCCAGGCGGGGAGTGTCCGTTTACCGTGTCCAGTTGCCGGTGAATC